TATATTTTATAATATATATAGAGTTTTCTTCCGATCTTTACGTCATCTATCTGACTGCTTCAGTCGGGGTATGATTTCAACAAGTTATCGCAATAAAGCTTTTGGTGTCTGAGAGTCGATCTGTTATGCTTGATTCGATTTAGGCCGTTTCCAACAACTGTGAGTCAGTTATCATATCTTCCTTCCCTTAAAAAGATTTATTTTATTAATCACTTTACTTACCGTTTCTTGGCGCCAAGTTAAAAATAATTGTGAGAATGCACTTTTTTGGCATAATTTATTAAATAATTTACTCACAAATTTAGTTTATAATTATAATAATAATGTCATCAATAAGTGTTAATTTTTGTTATTGGAAAATATTTATGTTCTTTAACCAGCACACTTATTTATTAGCTACACCACAAAAACAAAATTAGTGCTAAAGACAATAGTTACGCTTAATAAACTTTAAAAGTTTTTGTTTTTGTTGTTTGCTTAAAATGTACTTAAGTAAATAAATTTAATAATTTTAAAAAATTTTACTAATTAGGAATAAATTTTGTTACAGTTTCATTTTGTTCAATGTCAATGTATGCATCAATGCATATATGTGTATGTATGTGTGTGTGAGTGTGATTGAAACGAATTCACGAAATAAGGCCATTAGCTGCTTAAAATTACTTTAAATGTTATTATTTTAACTTTTTTTTTTGTTTTTTTTTTTATTATTTCTCATGTAATTAATTACTAGTTTAAATGTCGGCTTAGTCATTAGTTAGTCGTAATGGGAAAGCATGAGTATGAGTTTAGTTAAAGCAAGGCGTTTTAATTGCAACGCAACACAGAAATATGCCGCCAATGTGCGGTCGCTTCAGTTTCTGCTGTTTAAGCGTCGAAATGTTAGAATTTATTTTAATTTCTCACTAAGTCTCTGTTTATAAAGGTTTCTTCTTAATTCATGCAATGAATTTTTACGTTATTCTAACGCTTCCAAACAGTCGTCTCCATTGCGTGCTGGCGCCAAGGCCTTGCTTTTGTTGCCACCACTAATGCGTTCTCATGTTTTTTTCTCCTTCAAGTACTCAACTTTTGATTTAACAATTTCTATATATATATATACTTTCAGCGATTTTTTAACCTAGCTCTGTTTTCTATATCTTTTGATTAGTTTTACATTACTTGGTATTCACTAGAAGCTTAAGGATATATACACTGAAGAGTATGGTATTTAACGCTCAATATTCTTTTTCTAATTTACCGCTTGCGAACCCCTGAAAATTTTGTTTTTTAATTTAATTTGTTTATTCCTTAATCCAAATATTTGACTGTTTTCAAGCGTCTCGTTTCAATATTTATTATTATTACAGGGCTGATATCCACCTGTGAATTTCGAAAAATAGAAAAAATCAATTTTTTCGCCCGTATAGTATATAGAATGTATAATATATTTGAAAATATATTACCAATATTTTATGTTAATCCCGCAAAGAGTTTTGGAGATATGAATTTAATGAAAGAATTCTTTAACTTAATGTAATCGACTCCCAAAACCTTAAACGCGTTTTTTTTCTTTTCTTTTGAAACTAGATTTTCAGAGCCCGTGAGACAAACTTCACCGAAACGGTTTTATAGTCTTTACATTTTTACACGATCTCCCTCGATATATTTGTCAGGTAATGATAGAGGGAAGACGATTTTCTATAATAATTTCGATATTTTCAAATAGAAAATGGAGAGTTCGTAATAGAACCACTGCGACTAGAGGATTTTGTTGCGTCTCTGTGGTTTGGCAGTAATCGCGGTCGTATGAGGAGTGAAGGAGACCTCCTGAAGGACGGTTAAAGTACATCCTATGATTGTTGATTAGTTTAAATTATTTATTAAACAAACTTCCTTTTTACAAAAATTTCACAAAAACAAAGGGGTTTTCTGCTTTGCAAGAGAATAAAACTCCTTAAGTCGGAACTTCTGTATGTAAGACATCTCTATTTCATATTCAAAAGATTTCTAATATTTAAAAAAACAACCTGAAAAAAGTATTAGCATTTAACCGATTTTTATCTCTGAGAAATCTGATTTTTATAACTGAAACCCATGATCTCAATCTGATCTTTCAATAGATCATAGTTATTTGAAGTAATCTATAAATGACGCCTGTCTTTTACTAGGTTATGTTCAATATATATCTCACTGCTTTCAACACCTTTAATAATCCTTGTTTCCTGATCCTTTACATTGATCCCATAATGGGTAAACCAAGTCTCCATTGTGGTAGAGCTTGGTTTCTCACTACGAAAGTGTGTTTTTTGAAGTAATTTCGCTACAGTGTTGTACTTTAGTTATTCACCTGCCCTTCCTGGGATACTATTAGATCCAAGTACTTGGAAAATGTTATAAGGCTTTGGGGTTTTTAGAACTTGATTATATTCGAATATATTCCTTTTGTGAAATATTTGTTTTGTAATCGTTTTATGGTTCAATTTCATAAACTACCCGTTATATTTCAGTAAATTAAAATAACAGTATTCCATTGAACCTTCAAAATTTATTAATCAAATACTTTAATGGCAATTATACGGCATTTATATAATTGCTTAAAGTTTGTATTAACTTTCGTGAAAGCGGAGGATGGTTTCATGATAGAAACGTTTTTCGGAAATCGGGATTTTGAGAATTAAAGAAGAAATTCATGGAATTCTAAGTTTTTCGAAAACTGGGTTGTTAGCATAAGAAAAAGAAGTTGATAGTATCCCACATTTTTCGAAAAATAATATTTTGAAATTTAAACAATATATTCACAGAATTCTGCGATTTTGAAGCTTAAAAAATGAATACATAGAATTCTTCATTTTTGAAAAATGCGATTTTAGAATTGGAATGGGACATCGGATACTCCGTTTTTCGAAAACTGAGATTTAGAAATTTAAAGAAGGGGTTCATAGCAGTTTACTCTTATTCAGGAATTTGAATGAGGAATTCCTTAAATTCTATGTTTTTCGAAAACCGCGATTTTGGAAAAGGAAATCATAGTATTCGCCATTTTTCCAATGCTGGGTTTTAGAAGTTGAAGGAAGAGTTCATTGGATTCTACGTTTTTCGAAAACTGGAATTTAAATTTTCGACTGCTGGGTTTTAGAAGTTGAAGGAGGAGTTCATTGGATTCTACGTTTTTCGAAAACTGTTTATGGTACTCAAAATTTTTTGAAAAGATGTTTTTTATTTGAGAGAGGAATTCATAGTATTCTACGTTTTTCGAAGACAGGGATTTTGAGATTTAAATAAGGATTTTATAGTATTCAACGTTTTTCGAGAACTGGAATTTTGTAATTTGAAAGAAAATTTTAAAGAATTTTACGTTTATCGAAAACTGGGCTTTTGAAAATAAAGAAATTAATTCATAGGATGTCATGTTTTTCGAATACTGGAATTTTGAGTTTGAAGAAGAAATTCCTTGATTTCTATGTTTTTTCGAAAACTGTGAGGTTGGATAAGGAATTCATAAGCTTGTCCGTTTTGGAAAGCTGGGATTTATAAATTTAAAGGAGGAATTCATCGAATTCTATGTTTTTCGAATACTCGAGTTTTGGAATTTCAAGGAATTGTAATAGGTTAGATTTACGGATACAAAATACAGAGAAGTGGGTCTCTTAGTAAAAAATCAGTAAGAGATTTCGATACGACCTGTAAGCTTTACAATTTGTTCTGTTCGTTATTAATATCCCTGGATGAAAGCGATTTGCTACTCAAGATTTAAAGACGATAGGCTCGGTGACCTAATATTTTTAACAAAATACCTTTCTTTCTTTTGAAGTTTCGAGCCTCTCAGAAGTCCTTGAAATCCGCGTAATGCAAGCTATTTACCTTAAAGGTTCAAAGGTGAATGATCCGAGACCTACCTTTTTAATGTACTATATGTATTACCAATTATTCCTTCGAAACTTTCAGTATCGCGAAATTTCGTGCACATTTCAAAATTGTTTTGCAATCGGAGTTATTTAAAACATTAGTTCTGGTTAAAAAATGTGTAACAGATATTTAAGACATCTATTTTTGTTCCTCTTCTTCCCATATCTCTTCCATTTAATCCTACAATATCTCGTTATTGACTTGCTTACCAATAAATTTTTTGTATTATCTCATAATCACCCATGACTTCTTGACTTATATTTATACAAATGTTTAACACTAAGAAAGCACATAACACAAATATTATCTAGCTAAATACGAATATGAAGAAGTATTGTTGTACTTGTATGTATGTTTATGCATAAATATTAGACGATTTCCGAAAATTAGCATGATATGAGCGAAATGTGGAAGATTTCCCGATTATACTTCTAAAGAGACTTTGTTTGTATAAAGTTCATAGTTATGTTGTATGCGGTGTGCGGTGTCTAAATACGAGTTCGGTATGCGTTCCTTTAAATGTGGCTAAGAGAGGAAGCTTCTTTTGTTCGATAATCAGGCTATAAGAGAGATTGATTATAAGACTATATGCATGTTTTGTGTATATTAGTATGTATAGCTATTAATATAACTGTCTTAAAACTACATAAGCTGCGTTCCTATATCCGATATGACCTTGAAGCAAATGACACACCCTCTACATGCGTGTACTTTCCAGCGTCAAAGAGCAGGCGGCACCATCCGCGCTTGCGGACATCAATAAGAGATCCGACGCCGTCGAACCGGTCGAGCCCGTCGACGAGGAGCGTTTCTTGGTACCACTACGACCGTTGCTTTTTAAAAATCAACTTGTAGAACGTGTGAGCAGCTCGTCGTCATCTAGTTGTGCCAACGCAGCCGGTGAGCCCACATCGATGGTGGTCACACGATTGCCGCCATCCGATGCCGACGGCAACTTGATGACATCATTGTCGGACGTATGGACTGGCATAATGATGCACACGAAGCTTTTGCCGGTTTGTGAGTCGCGCGGATGCAAGGTTACCGGATTGAATTTATCCGTTTGTCCGTCGGTGAAGGTTTGCAGGCGTTGATAAATTTCGGGATAATGTTTGCGCAAGAGCACACCACGTCGTGACAAGATATCCAAGATATTGGAGAGTATGAGTTCACCGTGACCGTTATTTGAACGTAAACTTGGATTGAATGTGAGTATGAGTATCTCGGTGGTGGGCTCCGGCACGGCAACCACTGTTAACGGTGGCTGCGGCTGCAGTTGTTGTTGTAGTTGTAGGGCCTGATGTTGTTGCTCCAATTCAGCTAGGATGCTCTTGCAGAGTTTCAGTTTGGCACAACGCGAGACCAGCTGGCGTTCCCAGCGTACTGGCGCCTGTCCCATGCCCGGCGCTTCGCTGACCACACATATGGCCACGTAGATGAGCATCTTGGAGTCCGGCTTGTATTCGGTGCTTAACTTCAGCAATTCCGAGTACAGCTCGAGACCCATTTCGGCGGGCATCAGATCGGGCCAACGCACATAGGACGCCTCGCCCATACACTGAAAGCCGTGCTTGATGAAACTCTCAGCCGCCTCGGCGGAACGGAAGAGCACCCGCACAACGCCGCGCCCCTGCGACAGGAAGCCCTTACGCGCTAACAAACTGAGATGGCGCTGCGAATCGACATCATCCTTACACGTGGCTAACACTTGGCGGCACAAATTCGACGCGCGTGAGTGTAGACATGCTTTGCGGTGCTTCTCCCAGTGGGCGCGCCGACATTCACGCGAACAATATAGATGGGTACAATTGTGGCATGACTTGTAATACTTTTTGGCGTCTGCGGGTGTGGCGCTACGATCGCACTTGGTGTTGCGGCACTTGATCTGCAGCTCGGATGTGGTCTTATTATTGGACTCGGAACTGTCGCCGAGCGAGACACGGCGCGTCGACAGCGTGGCGTTCCCGGCGCCGATGACACCGCTGCCACCTCCAACGCCACCGACGGTTGACGTGTGGTGACTGTTGACGCTGGCATCTTGGTAGTACCCGACAACGTTGGTGTGCTGCGTCGTTGTGCCGATGCTGTTGCCGGTTGACGAATTGGTTTTGGCATTTTGTTGCTGTTGTTGTTGTTGTTTTTGTTGTTGCGGTGCATCGCCCTCACTGCGCCGGCGCAAACGCTGCTGTTCGGCCTGTAGTTGTACTAGTAGTAGTTGTTGTTGGGATTGCTGTAGTTGCGTCTGGGATTGGGGAATTTGTGGTGGTTGTTGCTGCTGCGGCATATGACGGAATGTTACCAGGGACTGACTAGCTGAATCGCCTGCGAATGAGAAGAGAATGTGCATGGGTTGAGGCAATATTTAATTGTTAACTCTTTTTTTAACAATGTTAACATTTGCTAAGTAACTTCTAATGCAGTACACAACGTCTAGGCATTCCCAACGAAAGTATCAAACAAAAATTGTTTTTAAAAGCACATGTTCACAGGAGTTCTTTTTTAACGCGAAGGAATGAGTTGAGCATGCTTGGAAGGATTCAGCCGTACTACTTGCTTCATAGCGTACGCAATTTTCTTTGGTAACATCTCTCTTCGGAGACCAGAACTTTTGAAAATCCAAAAAAAAAAGAATTTCTTTAAATTTTTACGAAATTCGACCGATATATTATGCTACAAAATATGTGCAACCTGATTTATATACATCTTTGCTAAGCTTCCCTAATTTCATTTTGAATACGATTTTGTTCTGGTGGTTAGTCTAATCTTCTATAGAATTTGAAGACGCAATATCAAAACAGTAGGAGTTAAAGCCAAAAAATATACAAAATATAAGCTAGAAAGCGGTGTTGCTAAGAACGTCGCTAACCTCAAATTTTACACATGGAAACCAATTAGTGTAACAGGGATATTATACAAATATTCTTAAGCCGTACTGACGAAGTACTCTAAAGTTATTTGTGTAATTTTTTTTAATGGATCTATTGGCCTTTGGAATTAGGTTGGAATTAGAATTAAACTAATATATCAATACAATAATTTTAGAAGCATTGACTTAACATTTTTAGCTGCAAAATTTGTTGGCAGCTGTTAAGTTTATTGCTGAAGCATGAGAAAATACAGCTATGTGGAAAAGCCATATATTTTTAATGTGTTGAAAAATTCTTTCCGCGAACAAAATAATAATTTGCAATTTTTACAGATTCATAGAGGCAAAAAAAAAATAATAGTAATAATAATAATTATAATACTGTTACGATTCATCCTTTTTTACTATTATTAGTTCGAACTGTTAAGAGAAACTAGCTGAATTGCAACATGTTACTGTACAGTACGTGTAATATTTAAATTTCTACACCTGAGATTAATGTTAGAGTGGATGCGAGAAACTATACGAAGACTGAAACGATAACGATCAGGCATATCACGCGCCAGTTATCAGTCGAAAAGCTCGAACGAGTCATCGAAAATAGGACACAACGGATGGAATATCTGAAACGTAACCGCGGCCAACATGTGAAAGAGATAATCTTCAAAAGATAAACGCCAAAGAATGTTTTTCGAAAGATAATAAACATTGTTTGAAGTTTTGTGATTTTTCTTTGAAAAAGTAGGGAACATGGAAATGGATCACCTTTTATAACAAGTCCAAACTATCCCTAGTTCCAATATACCCAATATAATGGCTCCTGACTTTTCATCTGGCTTTAATCGGTTTAGCTTGGTCAAAATGTGTAATGCTTTGTTGAAAATCTGTTGTTTGGCGGCAAATTGTAATGGAAGACCTCGGTCTAAGGCGCATTTTCCTAAAATAATGAATTCCAACCCGGTATTTGACATTTTTTACTTCTTCTCTTAATGCCTTCGGTTGAGTTTGAATTACATTTAACTTATCTGAGACTGATTTTAGTAAAATTTTCGCTGTCTCGAAGGGAAATAATAAATAAAATAAAAATAATAATAATAATCTACAAGTATGACCTATAATTTCACATTTATTTATTCTAATCCATTCTTGATTTCATCGAATAATGAATGCTGATTTCTGTCGCAAAATTTTTAATATAAAAGCTTCTGTTTTTGATCCCTGCAATTTGCAAGAGCATAAAGTGTTCCTTTACATTTGAACTAAGCTGTCCTTACTTGTTACTAAATATTTTGTATGCCAATCAATCTCCGTTACCTTTATTTTCGTTGTGTGAGTGTAAAAATTTTAAATAATTCAGTAAATTAAAATAAAAGTAAATAAATAATAAAGGAAGGTTTACATTGCGGCAAGAAAGCACCCAGAAATTTTAATTAAATTGCCTGGGTAAATGATATTTGAAAAAGAGTATTTTTCTGAGTTTGTAGGAGTGTGCTTTATTAATATGCCAAATATGAGCGCGATCAGTCAACCAGGTCGTTTGCAACAGGTGCTTAAGTCGGTACATCTCAGTAGTGTGTTGCGATTTTGTCAATGAATAAAAATATCGAACAAAGAATTTGTCCTAAATTCTGTAATTCTGATTTTGTATTGGAAAAGACTTAGGCTGATCCACTATCATCAAAAACACAAACCTACGAGTGGTACAAAGCCTTCAAAACTGATCATGAAATCGTTGAAGACATGCCTCGTTCTGAATGACCTTGGATCTTTTCAACAGATGAAAATATTAAGGATATCGTTTTTGAAGATCTTCTTGCAAGTGTTAGATATATGGCAAGAGACTACGACATCTCCCGCGAGTCCGTTCGAATGATTTTAGTGTATATTTTGAGTTTGAAACGCGTTCTTGCTCGACTCGTTCCGATAAAGCTGATTTTTTTCCCAAAAATAGTACCGTAAACAGGTCTATTTGAATATCCTTGTTCGTGCGAATTCCAATCTCACATTCATATAGAGCATATCACTGCCGACGAGACATGAATTTATGAGTTTGTCATTAAAAGAACTCATCAATTATCGGAGTGGAGTTTGCAACATTTGAAAGCATTTTGCATGCGAGAGTATAAAATGCCCTTCCTTATATGTTAGAGAAATATTTTGAAACTACTAGACAGTGAACTGTATGAGTGTAATAATTATTAAATAATCCACCTAATGAAAATAAATCTAAATAATAAGGGTTTATATATTATTGTAATTGTTTTAAGACTAATTAAAAAGGAAGTGAAACCAAAAATGTAAGGAGTTCATGGTAGGGTTTGGCTTTTCTGAAACCGTTCAAATAAAGTCCTCTTTCTGTTTTTTAATTTCTCGCTACAAAGAGTTCTCTTTGGAGAGCTTTTCTTTTAAGTTTTTTTTTCTTTTTTTTTTTTAAGAATTAGAAATAAGAATTCGTTCTTTGCTTGCTTTTACGTTCTTTCTATTTTTTTTTTTTNAGAATATTTTCAATTTCAATAAGAAAAGTTAGCTTCAAAGTGTGTGTGTGTGTGCACGCATGTGTACACGTGTATATGCGTGTGTGTGTAGAAATTTTGGTTTTGCGGTGAAAAAAGTTGGCTGGTGTTTGCTGTTGCTGCCAGCGCTACATTCCATAGGCGTTCACATGTGTGTGTGTGTGTGTATCTAGATGTGTATAAGAGACAGATCAAATATATAAAATTTCTTTAAATTGTTTTTTTAATATTTATCAAACAATAGGAATATACTGATTTATAAATCCAAATATAATAATGGGTAGTCGAAAAAGTCTTTTCGTATTTCTAATCAATCTTCAACTTATTTTCTTTTATATTTAATAATAAATAAATAAACAAATATTTAATATTTTGGTCACCCATTTTTTGTAATTTTTTCCGGTAGAGACATTATTACGTCAGTTTAAAACTTTCATCAGTGTAAATCAAAATTTCGAAATTTCCAGAACGGAAGCAAGCGAACCATTGTTGTGCTCCGTACACTTCCCAAATTTCATTAATGACATGCGTGGCATTCTTCCCTTTTTTATACAAAAAATTCAAAATATAGCGAATTTCTTCATTATTTTTAATAATTTTTGAAGATCTGTAACTTTTTTTCAACTTCCTCGAATTTATTTCTTTGCTTAAATGAAGCTTAAAATCTCATCTTTCCAACACTATATGGTATGATAGAACGACTTCTATTAATAAAATACGAAACGACTTTTTCGACTGCCCAATATCTCAGCTCTTAATACACAGTATATAACGAAACACAACAGTAACAAATCGTAAATTATTATGTATAAAAAAATGTTAATATTTGTCGAATTTTGTTTGGATTTACGCTTAAATTTATATATTTTCAAAACTCTATCTATTATATTTGATTCTATATAATTACAAGTATATATTAATTGATACGATTGTGAGCCGCAATGATGATGGAGCTGCGCTTAAATGTCTATATATTTTACTATATACGTTTACGAATACGAATACGAGTATGTAGTAGATACATATGTTTGTATGTACGAGTATATTTTTGTGATGGAAGAAAACTTACAGGTTCATACCTGTCGTCGTGGATCTAGCGTATGGATCACTTGTGGCGGCGGGCCCCGCGTTGACGTTGACGCCGACGCCGACGCCGACGCTAGCGCCAAGAGCTGCACCCGCACCCGCACCAGCGCCCACGTTCACGCCCTGCACTCCACCACTGGACGACGCTGACGACGATGGCAGTCCTAATAGTGAGGCTAAGACATCTTCTAGCGAAGCGGTGCTCAACGAGCGTTCTGGCGCTAAATTTCAGAATTTCGATGCATTTTTATATATTTGTTTTGTTTTTTGATTGCGAGCAAATGTTTTCAAATGAGTGTTTTTTGTATTTTTTTTTTATTGTTTTGTATAATTTTACGGATGAAAAGGTGGGAGAATACGGTAGTTTGGTTAGGTTTTCGGCAATTTTGTACACATTTCGGCATATATGTATGTATATTTGTAGCACATATTGTTGATCGCCATTGATTGTTGATGGATTTGAAAGAATTTTTTTTGGTGGGAATTTCAGTTTAGTTAGCATTAGTAATGTTGGTGTGGTAAAAAACAAGAAAAAAGAAACGAGAATATAAAACGCATATATATTTTAATTGTTTTTGTAAAACGCTTTGCTTTAGCCTAAGATATGTTTACTTAATTAAATGCTAATAAAAATAACTATACTGTCAACCATAAGCCTTAGAAAATTATCAAACAAAATATCAGCAACACATGGTATCACCCTGTCTCTCCATAATGACTGCTACCAATGAGATCTACGTCTGACTCATTACGCAATTAACTTATGATTTAGTAAGAGCTTTGAGTAAAGAAGCAAATTTGAATGTTTTCATTAAGTTTATAGCGGTCTAAAATCGCAAGTATATACGTGAGGAAGAGAGGAAGCGTTTAGTAGGTGGTAGTAGTTCGGAGCGTGGTTTGGGTGTTTCAAGGAAAGGGGCACAGAAATTCTACGATTTTTAGTTGCAATTAATAACTAGTGTACGGTTATGTGGTGAATGAATAATAATATATACTAGAAGTTAGAGAAATATACTACTGTATAGATAAATTTATATAGTGCAGCGTGAAATTATTTGATAACAAATAACTTAATATTAATTTTCTAAAATGTTTGGTAATGTAATGTCTKCTAATGGCATGTTACAAAGAGCTTGGGTTTAACATAAGAGGTATTAAAAAAATATTTCTGAAATAATACTATATAGTTTGAGGTCCTGGATTTAACAATATTCGTCGAACTCTCTGTCTGCCTGTTCGCCTGTCTGTATATACTCGAACTAGTTCTTCAGTGCATTTGCCTGCTTGTTGAACAAGATTAAATATCTACAAGTGGCCAGGGACATATATGGTAAAATATTTAAAATGGCACCTGCCCCGGCTATCCTGTCCTTGAACCCTTTGTAGGTTTATCGTGATCCACAAAGAGTTCAATGTATTCTTTCACTATCTTCGATGAAACATTAAGAAAGGTTAGTGATTATCTGCATAATCTAAATATATTTCCTCTGGTGAGCACATTGTTTGAACAAGAAGGCTTTGTTTCATTATTATGATATACGCTTGGAAGACACTGCAGTGATCTGGTAGTCGGAAGTCGATTCTGGTATGTAATTTTGGTGAAAAGACACCACCTCCTACTCGATTATTTAGTTTGAACCCATCCGTATAAATAATTTAGATTTAATGAAGCATGTTGTGAGTCTTTAGAAGCTCAGTCCTATGTGACTTTAAGCCGCTTTGACGATGCAGCCGATTTGAAAAATTTGTCCATGAGCATAATAGAATTTTGTCCTGCACAGTAGTCCAACCTACACAAAGCAATCTAAGAAGTAACCAATATCTTGAGATCCAACATTCATTATTAGCATAAATATAGCAGCCATAGCTGAAAGTGCACACGAATATCATTGAGAGACGATTCGGCGTCGTTTGCAAAAACTTGGACTCACCTAAGGAATATAACTTTTTTTTTCATTCAAAATGGTGTGGTTTGTGAACGGGTGGTATCATCGACGATATTTGGTTTCAACAAGATGACGCCCCTTCCGAAACATCGTATCAATCAATGGATTCAGTGAGAGAACACTTTAGTGAGCAGATAATTTCACGTTTTGAGCCCTTCGATTGACCACCAAGATAATGTGATATCACGCCGTGAGACTGTTTTCGGCGGGGATGTGTAAAGTTTAACGTTTATGCGGACAATGCCGCTTTTTATCAGACCTTGAAGAAAAACAGCACGCATGTCATTCGCCAGTTATCAGTCGAAACGATCGAACGACTGATCGAAAGTTGGAAGCAACGGATGGACCATCTGAGGCGTAGTCGCGACCAACATTTGAAAGAGATACTCTTCAAAAAATAAATGCCAAAGAATGTTCTTTCGCCGGAAGCGGGCAGTAGGAGAGGAATTCTGTTCCATCAGCACAACGCCATGCCACACACATGGAAAGTGACTCACCAAAAGCTCTGGGTGCTTGAATGGAAAGTGCTTATGTATCCAGCTTATAGTGCGGACTTTGCAACAAGTGAATACTAAGTGAATTTTTGAGTATGACGAATAATTTTGCTGGCGCAAAATTCGTCCCCAAAGAAACTTATGAAAATCGGCTGTACCGGTTTGTAGTCAATAGGACGTGAATTTCGTTGAGAGAGGTTTTCTGAAATTGCCTTCAAAATGGCAACGACTTATCAAACAAAACGGTGTCTTTTAGGCCATATTCGGATTATTATATGAAAAAAAATAGAATTTAAAGCAAGAATAATGGATTTCTTTTTACTATATTTTGTATAACAAAATTAAAAAATAGAACTAGTACAAATCGGCTGAAGGGACTTAAAAGTAGAAAAAATAAACAGCAAATTCTTAAATGAAGAACAAAAGAGGGAATAAAATAGCAAAAATTAAATAAAACTGTCTAATCCGCAGACATAAAATTAAAGTAGTAATATGCAATAAAAATTATATAACAAACCAATCACAATCCAATTAAAATAAATTAAACTTTGTGTAAAACAAATAATTTCCATACAAACATATAAAATATATGTTTTATATGTAAGCACTTTTATTTATATCGAATAACTGTTATATGTAAATGCGTTAAAAACTAAATTATTTATGAAATCTACAATTTTATTTTTATTTTTAAAGCATCTTATATAGTATGTTTATGTGTATATGTAGGTATGTCTAAATGGTATTGATTATGAAAATAACTTCAATGGTATATATAATATTTATATATGTATTTGTGTATGTATTATGATAGGCTTGTGATGAAAATAAAGTCAAACACAATAAAAACACATTTTAAATGAATAATTTATATGCGTTTGTATGTATATGTATATAAACAGTATGCAGTATGTGTATTTTTCATTATTATTTAGCTTTAAATTATGTGTTACAAAATTATTTCCAGTACGAAAATTTAAATGCACATATTTTATAATCAATTAGACTAAAAGTTAACAGAAAAGTAAATTAAATTAAAAAAAAAATAATAATTTAATTACAAAAATTATTAAAACATAAAATTTCGTCCGATTTTATATAAAATTTATTTTAGCGTTCGAAAATTGAAATTTTTTAAAACAGTTTGAGAAGTTTTTTAAAGAAATTATGTTATGCGTTTCTATGTACATATCGGCACTTAAAATGCAAAACTTTTCACTTCCACTTTTCAGAAGTTTACAGACGAAGGATAAGCGATATAACAGAAAACACATATTGAAAAAAAATCAGTTTTGGTTATAAAATGGTTATATATTGGTTATTATGCACTTATATTGATTAGAGGTTTTGGTTATAAGACGGTTATGTCTTGGTTATCAGACACTCATATTAATTTGAGTTTTGGTTATGAAAGCGTTATATCTGACAGTGGAAGCTGAAAATTTGATGCACACTTAAGCAATAAAAAAAACTTGTTTTGCATTTTAGGTGGTGGTGATAGGTATGTAGCTTCATAAGTGTTTTTATGCGTCGTTTTAAAAATGTGAATTTTATGGCTGTGATTTATAATGATTTTCATGTGAAGAAAACTCACTTGAGCAAAAGCAAAAATGGGTCGATATTTATAACAAGGCATGATATTTGGTAACTAAATGGGGCGAATATGTTTGGAGAATATTTAGGCACAAATGATATGATGTTCTATGCTAGCGCTTATTTATATTTAATAATTTTTTCGAACATTGAATTAGTCTATTTTAAAACTCTGAAAAAATAGCAAATTCATTGAATTCGTGTTGTTTTTGGGCACTTGAAAATTATACGAAAAATCATTTGGAATCGAATTGTTATATTGAAAATATTTTGAAGTTGGTTTTTCGTGATGTTTTTTGACACTTGAAAATTTTGCGATAAACATGTTTTGAAATACAACTTTTGTATTGAAAATATTTTGTGGTTATTTTTTTGACACTTGAAACTTCTTCGAAAAAAAATTTGAAATCGCAATTTTTAAATCGAAAAAATTTTGAGGTTATTTTTTCGTAATGTTTTTTGATACTTGACAAAAATTTTGAAATGCCATTTGTATATTCGAAATATTTTGAGGTTAATTTTTGTGATATTTTTTTAATACTTGAATGTTTTGAAAAAAAATCCATGTTTATATTGGAACTATTTTGAGCATATTTTAGCTTAATTTTTGGAACGAACCTGAGTATGTTTCTGATCGATAGAAAATATTTTTTTTTTTTTAACGAATACTTAATTTAATTTTTCTCATCGCAATTTTGAATAATTTTGAAAAACTAAAAAGTAAATACTGTGAGAAATTTTGTAGAAGTTGTCTTGTCTTTTTGAGCATATAGATATTAATTATCGACTTAACTCTTAGTAGAGTATGAAGTACAATTTTAAGCAACTAGCTGTGCCTTATTCTATTTTAATTTTTTTCCCTTTTTTGTCCAATATTCTTTTGTACTATCTGATCAAATTTGACCTGTATTGCCAACAACAAGAAATTCTCGTAATCTTGTCGACTTGTTTTTGATACTGAAAGCACTCAAATTAAGTCTACCACATCACTAGTGAATTCAACAGACCAACAAATTGAATAAGGAGACCAATTTTCTTTTTTGCCAAGAATTAAAAAATTTGGATTTTTAATGCCACAGCGCTGAATATTGAGGAATTTTGATTAATAATAATTATTGAGCAAAATAAATTCAGCAGAATGTTTTAAATCTTGTAATTATTTGTAAAAATTCAGCAAATTTACAAAATATGCTTTTCATAAATTCAATTCCAGTGCTAGCATACCTTCAGGCGCTTCAGTTGTAGTTTCTGTCATTTTCATTTTATATTTCGGAATTTGTCAGCTTGACAGTGCAGTAAATTTTAAAATTTAACTGTCTCCGCTGATCTGGGAAAACTCTGAAAATTTTCAAAATATGCTTTTCATGAATTAAATAGCAATTTTTCAAAAATTGGCATCTTGGAGGTATGCAAACTTCCAAATCTTACTGATTATTATGAAACTTTCAGTTTTGGGTACAATAATTTAAAGGTCTTAAGTTTCGCAGCAGTAGCTGCATACTTTCGGACGCTAAGTCTATATTTTCGCAAATGTTTACTCCACACATAACTGTTAAGTTTTGCCAATTTTTTACTTATTTTTAATTATAATGATTTATGAACACTGTAAAATGATTGAGAAGTCTTTTTTCGGACGTAAATATGTATTTATTTTCTTTTCATGTTATGTTTTACAGATAAAATAAATTTTTATAATATGTTTAATATGTAAATATGTATGCAAATTGATTGTCATCGTTGAAACTTAAAATCTAAAGAAAAAACAAAAGCATAAATGTTAAAACTAAAATTTAATACAAAGTAAATTTATATTATTTTAACTATGAACATTTTTAAAAGCACATACAAACAGTTACAAGTAAAAGTTCAACGAAATGCGTTAATTAAATAAAAATATTA